TTACAAGAATAAAGTTGAAAGAATAATGTGTAACTTACTTATGTACGTTAATTTCATTGATGTATTGAATGAATTAGAAAAGTTTTCTTTTGACCAGTAGAAATGGAGTAGAATGCTGTTTCATACTGAAAAAACTAGTAGAAATGGAGTGGAATCTTGTTTCATACTAAATTTGAATCGTGGGAATGCTGTTTCATACTAAAAAAACTACCGAATGCCTGAAATAGATTATTTATAGGTTATTAAACACCGACAGCATTAAATAAATTGGAAATCCGTAACTTCGCATTTACAAGAATAATGTTGAAAAAATAATATGTAACTTATTTATGTATATTATTTTTATAGATGTAATTTAATTTAGGACATGTATAATAATAATAAGGACATAATAAGAATAATAAAGACATAATCAGAACATAATAAGGATGGTTCGATTAAATCTCTCCACCATGCGTCTGACTGGGGATGTAAAGGTGTCGTTTGGGTTTTTGTTAATGCCGAGTAGCTTGCAGAGATCTTTAATTACAGCCGATGCAAAATTTCTTCCTTAATCGGAATGCAACTGAAGAGGCACTCTCCAATGCTATATCATCCCCTCTGCTACCGTGACAGCCTTTTGATCAGGAATAGGATGCGCTTCAGGCCACTTGGTGAAGTAATCAATGACATCGAGGATGCATTTGTTGCTATTAATAGTTCGTGACAGAAGTCCCAGGATGTCAAAGGCGATATGTTCAAAAGAATACGTACAAAAGGAGCTCCAACATGGTAACGTTGCATCTTGCTTCGGCTGCATTTCTTCGGTCATTTTTGACCCGCACAGGCATCACAAGATTGGCGCCAATTTTGCACGTCATCCTTTGCATTACTCCAATAGAAGCGCTCTAGAACTCTCTGCAAGGTCTTACTTATTCCGAAGTGGCCTCTTGTAGGGCTGCTATGTAGTTCTTTAAGGATATTCGGGATCTTGGAAGTATCAGCTGAAATCGGAAAGCCTTTCCATCATCCGATTCGAATTTCAGGTGCAAGACGCTGTTTCGAATATGGAGTGAGTCCCAGAGAGCCCAATATTGTTTTGTCGTAGGACTATGGATGGAAATGTCCTGCCAGGAAGTTTTCGTGTTTGAAGATTCCGTTAGGTCATTTATGGGTTTAATGTTGAAATCTTCCAGCTAGTCTTTCTTGATTTCTTTGTCACTCCATGGGTCTCGATCAGCTGATGTTGATGTTGTAATTTGTCGAGCGATCGGATTCAGGAGCTTGTGTTTCTCTTCGACTCTAGTATGATATCGGCAGCTTTCTGAGCAAGGTCTTTCAGACACGGCGTCGGCGTTTCCAGGTGAGAATCCCTTTTGATGATGGATAGTTATGTCCTCAGATGCTGAAAGCAGTTTGTTGTTTTTGAATTGCATTTCGTTAGAAAGTCCAATCCAAGTGTGCAAGGATCTGTAATATCCGCCCCATATGACATGTGATGGTAGGTGGCACTTCCATATGTGATGTTTATGCTTAACTTCTCATCAGTTGCGGTTTTATCACCAGACACAGTCTGAAGGTTGACGCAAGATGGCATCCAAATGAGTTTATCTTTAAATTGTTGAGCTAAATCTTTCCAAATGATGGTAAAATTGGTCATATTGCAAAGAACTCCATCCATATGCCAGTTGAAGAATAGTCCGTTACTTACTCAATGCAGAAATCTTCAGGGCTTTAAATTTTTTTTTTTCATTATCGTTCAAACTTCGCTCCGCAAGATGGCCACTAATTTGTTTCCTGCGTCGTTGCTGGGAAATGGTTTTATTTTCCGTGCCCTGGGATGTTCTACAATCCCTCCGTATATGGCCTTCGACATCGCAGCTCTAGCACTTTAGGGTTTGTTTCTTGTCACTTCTATTCCGCCTCAAGGCACTGACTTGTCTGGTTAAACCATCTGTTTTATTTTCCGTGGCGTGGGGCATTCTGCAGTTTCGTCGTATGTGGTCTTCAGCACCACATTTCCAAAACTCTAGGGTTAGTATGTTCTCACTCCTATTTCGTATCAAAATATTGACTTATCTGGATAAATCATCTAAACGAGCCATCACTTCATTCACTGGCTCGTGGACTTAGGCAGTTCTGATTAGGTGGCGATCTCTAAAAGTTGCTTGCTGAGCCGTCTCGAACTTCATGGCGTACACCATAGCGTTTTTAACATCCTTGGCATGCCGCTACTTACAGAGCTTTCTGTATTTCATGATCCAGGATGACGTCGAAGTACTGCAAGGACAGGATTTCCCTTGTTTTTGTCGGGCATTCTGAAAAGGCGAAATGAGACAGCCTTTCAACATCCGTGACAAGTTCGTGGAGTGTTTCCGTGGGCTTTTGTAGACAGAATTTTAATTGAAGCCTGCTGTAGACTTTCAAACAATTCTTCCCAAAGCGCAGCTCCAATGCGCCGGATAGAGCTTCGAAGTCAAGTCTTTGGTTTTCTGGAAGCGTCTGCAGGATATCGAAGATAAAGCTTCGAAGTCTAGCGATCGGCTTTCTGGAAGAGTTTGAAGTATATTGCTCTCAGAGAAGCGGCAAGATGACAGGCCTTAGCTTGGGAATCCCATCCATTTACATTCGCTACTATAGAAAATTGTGTCTTATACACTTACCAGGAGTTCTTCCCATCATATGTGGATAACTTCAGAGAGGGAAGAGCAGGCTCGGGTAAAAATTTAAAACCATCAGAATTGATACCTGCCGTCGATACAAATTGCTTAAAGATATCAACTTTTTTGACGACGGCAGAAACCCTGTTAACAATTTGTTGTTGGACGGCAGAAACTCTTCCTTTGATTCATTCTTTGACAGAAGAAACTCTCTCTTCAGTGTGTCCAACTTTAATTTCAACAGCCTCAAATTTATTTTCTATTATGCAGGTAATTTCTCTTTTTATTTCTTCTTGACCTACTTCAATCTTCTCTTGAACGTCTTTCATATCCACTTTAACGGATTCTTGACCGGCTTTCATTTTTCTTGGCCCACATTCATTTCTACTTTGAACGCAACAAAGATCGACTGCTGTGTTCAAAGAACGCACTTGTTCTTCCATCGCTCTTGTCACTAGCATTCAATCTCACTCCTGACACGAAAAACTGTTGCGTGCGTACGGGTTCGTAACAAACTGAATGCCCAAGTTTGATAATAGGTTAATAAAATTTACTCTGATGAAAAGAAATATATCAGAACTCTGGAATTTTCCCTAGAGATATTCGTAGAAGTGTTCACAATATCACGCAATATAATCAGTAGTTATACTTCAAACTATTAAAAAAAATTAAATATAACGCAATATAAACTGCATCTAAAGAGAAAGCTAACAACTCTGATTCATCAATTCACGCGAAAATAACAACTCGCAATAATAGTAACTAAGCAAAATTACTAAAATTCTCTCTTACTGGCCTTTTATAGATTTCAACAGGTCGCGAGATTTTTATAGTAATTTCTGCTTCTCGAGATTTTTGGGAAGCAATAAGAGTATGTAATTTCGGTTACAGCTAACATATGGTCAATTACATTTATTCAATTTCAATACAAATTAACGAGATGCCCATTTATTTAATGTTAAATGCACGTGCTCCTGTATTTTTACTTTTTCGGCATAGCTTTCTGTTAAAATTTGCCTCGCGCTGCATTGCACGGGTAAATACAACAGTTTTAATTACAATTCTACAATATTATCTATCTAAATAAAAAATTCGTAACACTATTTAAAGAAATTAAATAATGAAGAATGTATGCATGTTTATCATATTGTGATAAAAACAACGGAACCTAGAGGCATCAAATTTTGCATAACTTAGTTCTCCACCCAAGTATTGGACACCTGGAAGCCCGAATTTTGAATTTCTTTTATCAATTTCTATTTTGTAAAACTTAAAGAATTTTTGATTAAAAAACTCAATGATTTCAAAGCGAGCAATGTAAATAAAACATTTTTATCCGTAGCACGCGAGATTGTTTATTAAAAATTCTGAAGATATGCTGTTTTTAAACATTTTTCATCCAAAAGGGGCGTTAATGTAAATGTGCGTGTAAATGGAAAAAAAAAGGCCCCTTTGAGCATAGTATAAAATCTGAAAATTTTCAGGTTTTTTTTTTTTTTTCCTTTTCTTCTTTTATTTTTAATTGGAAGTCTCGCCAGAAACGTAATAAAAGAAATGTTAACTTTAGATAACTCATTAAATACATGTAAATTAGAGAAAGAAAACAACAGTTACTGCTCCAAACACTTTAGAGAGCTATATTTACAACAAAATATGATAAAAATAAGGTTTAAAAAGGAAGCTAATTAATAATGAGAAAAATATGTATTTTGTTGCAAATTTGAAGCTAAAACGGTACAAAACTACGCAATTTTTCAAAATCTCTAAAAAACGGAGTACTATTTAAAAGATTAGTGTAAAAATATAATATATGTTTTGGAATGTCATAGAATTTTGGCTACTAGTTTATTGCGTTCCTTGAGACAAAAAGGTTGAAATTCCTTGGTTTAATGTATAGAGTGACATATTATAACAGTGTTGAACATGATCCTTATTGCTGCACGACATGATCTCATTTCATACTGAAATACTTTACCCATTATATTCTGACATTCCATTCAGACAAATTGTTCTATGGGCTAACTTTCTGATCAGGGTTCTCTTGTTAAATACATTTACGCGTTTTTAAAATTTAGAACAAAATTCGTATTTTCTCCATGTTTCATCAAATTCTTCGTGCAAGTTTCCATTTACCATACATTTCCCTCCTCGCCAAACTCATGGTAATCAGAGCAAAAGCTTATGTACAAGTTTTATTTTTCATTCTCCCTCGCTTACAGCTAGAAAATCTTAAAAGTGAATACATGACAGAAATTCAATTTTAGTACGGTCCCTGTATCAGTTTTTGAACTTCACGGTCCTTAGCCCGAGATGAAGGACCGGAGGCACAACGCCACGTGATCAAAACACCTTCGAGCAGAAACAGATTAGCGGCACATTTTAGAGTATGACAGTAACTACAAACAGCTCTTGACACTCAGAATTACTATTGAGTTATGTCATTTTATTTGTCTAAGATTTTAAAAAAGCCCCCCAAAAAATGGTTAATTTCAATCATATTGTATGTTTATCGATGGTTAATAGGCTCTTTCGCGGATAAAATATTCGACTGGATAAATATATTCGGTAGAAAGTCGTCTGCTTTACCACCGGTACAAAATCCACTGCTTCTTGATTCAGCATTAGGATTAGCTGCGAAAATCAGAAAGAGACAAGTAAGTCAACAATTTTTATGTTTTAGTATAATCGAGAAATCATAAAAGTTTACACGAATCCGACTGCAAATACATGCTGTGTCGATTGATAAACATTTAGCTGTGTTCTGTCTAGATTCCTTTCTATTATTCTTTAAAATATAAAATGAAAAATATTTTTATCTTTATACGTACTTGCAGCTGCATATTATATCAGTGATGTGACTCTGAAATGTCAAGCATAGTTTGAACAAGTACCAGCTATTGATATTAATACGATGTATTGATGTGTATATTTAATATATTGTGTTGCAAATGTTATTGTGTACAGTAAAATTTTTTAAAGGAGTTTTCCCGCTTAAATTTATTCCATAAAGCCCCGAATATTTTCCTATATCGATAATGTGGAATTTTCTCACCTCGCTTAAGAAATTCGTTCAAAGTTATTCGTTTCAAAGTTTCCTTTCTTAGAAAATCAGTTCCTTTTCTTTATGTTTTTTAAAACATTCTCATGGAATGCATTTATTTTCATAGTTTGAACTAGAAACGAAATTCATAGATGTTGTTTTTAGAATAAAAGATGCCTTTTTCCTACTCATGACAACATCTCTTAAATGACAAACATGTCTGTCATCATAATGATTATAGAGATTAGCCATTTGAGATCATGAGAAGGACAAGTTCGGTCCATTTTCTTTTGCTTTTCTTATGAAAAATAATCATATGAAAAAAAATCATTTAGAATAGGAAAAAAGAAAAACTATTTGTTGAATTTTTAAAACAGTGTCATCCATTTCTGAGACATTAGATAATACTTTTATTAAATTAATTGGTAAATGTTTTTAATTATCGAACAAAAATATAATTAACGAAAGATTTAGAGAAAAACATAAGAAATCCGTGAAAAAGTCCAAGTTCTATGTTACAAATTTAAATAGAATAATCTGAGTAAATCCTAATATATTTTTTTTAAATAAAGAAAAAATAGGTTTTAAATTAGTGATTTAATATAAATTATTTGAAATTCAATTTTAAAATAAAATAAATAAATTTAATTTCAAAACAATTGATAAAGTTATAAATTTATTATTTCATTCGAAAGTTCTTTGTGAATAATTGTGAAAAATGACACGCCTATTTAAGAAGTTTTTTAATTTTTTTATTTTGATAGCTTGAAAAATTTCTTAAGCGGGTTTTGCTGTAATGAAATAATTTTTGCATTGTAAATAAATATTAAACTCAAATACAATTTCTGGTTTATTGGCAAAGTTGTCGCCATTTTATGTGTAATGAATTGCAGTGAGTACACAGTGGCTCCCAAAAGTGTTCGTACACTTGTGATTTTCATTCAAATAGGGCTCTATCCATTAATTAAAAGTAAACTTTCTGAATGAGATTTTAATAATAAGATCTATAATATATTCGTAACAAAATTACATGAAATATTTTTAAAATATAGCGAGACTTAATTTTTAAGAAACTAATAATCAAAAAATGACAAACATTTTATCTCACAAAGGTCTTCGTACATTTAAAAAAATCTTGACATATTAGTAAACATTTCCATTTTTCGTTAAAGTAATATTTAGTAGGATATCCTTTAGCATCCACAACAGCTTTCAAATGTTTAGGAATAGATTTTACTAGTTTTTTTGTAATTTCTGTATCAATGTTCATCCATTCTTCCATAATGACTGTTTTGAGTTCGCTTTTCGTTTTGATGTCGTGTTTTCGTACTCTACCCTCCAGTTCTTTCCAAATGTGTTCTATCGGGTTTAAATTTGGCGACTGAGGTGGTGTTTTCAAAAACCTGTGGACAATTACAGAGACATCATAGGCGAACGTTGAGAGTTCTATGCTTAGGATCGTTATCATGATTAAAAATAAAGTTGTTTCCAATACCCAAATTTTGGGCTGATAATTTTAAATTGTCTCTTAAAATATTTAAATAAAGAAAATGATTCATTCTGCCATCAATAAATACCAAATTACCTAGTCCTGATGCTGCCATGAACCCCCACACAAGAACACCTCCACCGTTATCTTAACTATTCCAACTAAGTTCTTAGAATGAAGTTCCTCATTTTTTCTTCTCCATGTAGTTATTCGACCATGGGAACCAAAAATGTTAAATTTGCTTTCGTAAGCAAATAGGACATTATTCCAGTACGTTTCGGGTGTATTTATCATTGATTTGGCGAATGAAAGCCTAAGCTTTCTGTTTTTCTCACTAACAAAAAAATTTTACGGGCAGAATGCCCACGTAATCCAGCTTCTCCGAGAACTCGTCGAACAGTTTCAGGTGAAATTGAAGTAAAAAACTTTGCATTAAATTCTGCAGAAACTTTTACAGCACTCAAACGTGGGGTTTTCACATATTTTCTAATAATAAATCTCTCATCACGTTTAGTTAACTTTCTCGGTCGACCTTTCGTTACCTTGTTTTCAATCCCATTTTCTTCTTTAAAGCGTTTTATCACATACTGCACTGTAGAATGGGATAAATTAACTAATTTAGCGATATTTCGAATTGATTTACCACTACTATGGCGAAAAATTATCAATTTTCGAATGCTGTTTGTAATTTATTTACGACTGCCACCTATTTTTCAATAATAAATAGAATATTATGAAGTAAACAATAAAAAATTAAAGCAAACGATTTTTTTAAATGCCACCACGATGCAAAAAATTAAAAAAAGCGGCAAACAATAATTCTAATTTTGATTTTATCCAATAATATTTTAGTGTGCGAAAACTTTTTTGAGATAAAATGTTTGTAATTTTTTTGATTATTAATTTCTTAAAAATAAAGTTTCGCTATATTTTAAAAATATTTCATGTAATTTTGTTACGAATAGATTATAGATCTTATTATTAAAATCTAATTCAGAAAGTTTACTTTTAATTAATGTATAGAGCCCTATTTCAATGGAAATTATAAGTGTACGAACACTTTTGGGAGCCACTGTATAAAGTAATACGCAGAATGATGGAGAAGTAAAAGTCTGCTAAAGAAATCATATTCCTTAGCCTTGTTAATTTAAATCTGGCTGCTAAATATGCAGTTTGTGTTTATAGAGGGTATTTAAACGCTTTTAGAACGATTTTCGGGCCTCTTAATTAACATTTAAAATGCAAAGATTATTTTTTTTAAATGTTCGATCTGAACGGATCTGAAGGAACGGAAAATATGTTTTTTCTACATTACTATATATCTTCTGTAATTCTGCAGTTAAAAAAATTGCTTTTTTTAATTAAATAAGAAGATAATTAATGGAATATAATGTAATACTATGATTTGTTTCTCACATATCAGAGGGTAATCCTTTGTTTAGCAATATCAAAGGTTAATTATTTTGCTTCTTAGTGTCATAGGCTAAATCGTTTGCTTGTGGTATGTCAGAGGGTAATTCGTTTGTTCCTCGCATGTCGTATGGCAATTCTTCGTTCGTTATTTGCAAAATAGCTGTATTTGAGAATTTTTCATGACAGTTCTCTTTATGAAATTATATCAAGCATATAGTTTTTCGGCATAAGACATTTAGTTACTCCATATTTAAGCTGAATACTCAAAAGAAATATTTCGTAGCGATTAAGACCAATCTAAATTAAATTGCAAGAAAATAACGTACATTTAACTCTTTAACACTAGAAGCAAAAGGAAGGGAATTTGTTAAAAAATATTTGAACTTCTGAGTAATTCCGAGATTATGAGAACACTGTATTGCAAAAATACTATAGATTATTTATAAAGATTTAATCCTAGTTTCATATTCTAGGTGAGAGTTTCATATCATTTTCATTATTGCAGTGTAGAAATTTCTGCGCTTTAATGTCAGTATTAAAAGCGAAAGATGTCCTCATAGAAAGAAATAAGTCCAAAGTTCAGCCTTTTTTATTTCAAAGTTAATTTGTAAGGTTTTTTTTATATCAGTTTGTAGAGATATTAGGTTAATTTGTAGCAGGAGATATGAAAAAAGAAGCAATGCCCTCGCCGGAACTCGAACCACGGACCTCTGAACTACGCGTCAAATGTGCTGACCACTACATCACGAAGGCATGCTAAGAAGGCGGGAGAAATGTACACCCTTTTTAAATAATATACTCCCCCTTTTAAAGGGCGACTGGAAATTAGGGGACCCAATCGCCAAATCCTGGTGGTGGAGAACGGTCATCAACTACCTTTTTTTAGTTCGGTCGCCACAGTAGAGACATTATCTTATTTCGAAGCAGGATAGATGAAAAATGAGCTCGCCGGAACTCGAACCACGGACCTCTCGAATTCGCGCCGAGTGTGCTGACTACTACATCACGAAGGCATGCTAAGAAGGCGGGAGAAATGCCTTATAAGTTAATCCAGTTAGTGAAGTATAAATAAAACTTCGAGTTTCTCAGACAGTACTCGGCAGCACTGCTGCCCATCATTCTGTTTTAGTTACCCTGTTATTGTAACTTAATTTGATGGTTACGTTTCTGCAAACCGCGAATGTTTTGTTAGAATTTAAATAAAGGGGAAAAAAAAAAAAAGATTTGGGTTAGGAATGTTGATTTTGCACACTATAATTGATTCGAAACTGAACGCGGATTTTAGTTATCCGCAAGATAGCACAGTTTAGCTTCCCTTAAATTTTCAGTTGTTTAACTATGAGTTGATAAATAGCTTTATTTTGAATTTTTACTTTTTGATCCTTTTAGTTACAAAGCAGAAAATCTGTTAGTCTCATACGATTACTCAGATGTTAATTAACCCTTCAAAGTTAAAGCGTACTTATAGTACTTTTTAAACAATGTAATCTTAACTAGTCATTCAGTATTTAAAAGTACAAACATATTTTACAGACTCAGGTAAAAATTCCTCCATTATGGCTGTCGTAACAACAAATGAAAAATTCCTTTTCATTAAAAGTAAACATTGTTCGACAACCAATTAAACTGCTGAAAAATGATCAGGGCTTTGTTTTTTACATTTAAGTAAAATCAATTTTTCCTGTGCGAATTTTGAGACTGTATTTTTTGAT